AGTTGATCACAGTGCTTACGTGAAACAACGTGAAACAAGCCCCCTAGAAGGTTAGCACTGGTCATATGGCCATCAGCGGTAACAGTGGCCAAAAGCAGACAGGATGCCGCCTGGTTTTGGCCTACCCATGCTCACTGTTTTCCAGCCTGTGTTAAGCATGGCTGCGAGTAGGTGTCCATGCCAGAAGCAAGCGCAACCCATTAGGCAGATATAGCCCACGAGCCATGCAATGGGATGTCCCCTGTTCAAGAGGCAGCTAGATATCCCTGTCTTGGGACTTTTCACTCCTGGAAAGCTGGCCACTCACGGCTGCTTGGCCAGCAAGACGCCGGTTGGTCGCGGCTTGCCAGGAGAAGAGGAAGCCCATGCAGGGCAGCCAGCCCAGGATGAAGACAGTCCCTTGGCAAGGGCGGGCAGACTAATGAGAGAAGCAGATCCAATTCAGCAGATCTTGCGTGCACCACTGAGCATGCAAGCACTGCAAGGGTAGGTGCCTGCGTTCAACGCGAGCCTCACCAGGCAGCAAGCCCAAGGTCTGCTCTCTCTGCTGAGGTACTGTTGGTGCTCCTCTTTGCTCATGAACAGCTTCCTCCATAAGCACCTACCGAGAATATACATAGCATATACAGCAGGTAACAAACTAACTCCTGAGGACACACAAATCAGCTTTTAGAAATGTCAGTAACTTCCTTCACCTGCTTTTTTCATCTGTTAGAGCAGCTGAAGCAAATTAGCTATGCTGCTGCCTTAAATCACTGATTGACTTCAAGAGAGTCCATATTTATGTCATCTGACATTTGCAGGCAAAAGTTGTTAGTTAGATCAAGCAGTATAGTTTGAAAAGTAGCCAAGATCTGGGATATATTGTTTCTTTTTTAGACCTGGAGTGGTAGGACCATAACTAATATTTTTATTTGCAAAACAGGTGAATCAGTGATTTCTTCTCTTGTGTTGACAAAACTTTGATTTTTTTGCATATGATCTTCACATCAGGTAAATATCAGAAAAAAACCCACAATGTTTTCAGTTCTCGTTAGTAATGGAGTAAACATAGTCAAAAGCAGCATTCACAACCAAAAGTCATTTTGCCATGAAGCTTATGTATTTGCGACAAAAAAAAATGCGTGTTCCAGACTGGAACTGGTTAATGAAAACTCCTTATTCAAAGAACACACACTCATAGCCATATTCAAAACGTATTGAAACCAGCAGTTTTATCTCAGTAAGTTCCAAATGACCTTTGAACAGGTTCCTTTTAATAATGAAAGAAAACTGTGGAGCTGTTACGATGAAGCTTCCCCTTCAAGTTCCCCCTTCTCTAGCTCGGTTAACAATAACGATTGCAAGCACTTAACTCCTTTGCAGGCTGTTCTTCACTGGCTCTTGCAAGGAGCAAAGTAAAAGTGACTGTGAATACTTACTCTACACCCTAAAATTTCAAGAGAGGTGTGTTACCAGATACTCCAGGTTGCACTGTAAGGGCTCCAGCAGCTCTGGAACAGGGATCAGAAATGCAATTGATTCTCACCCACTGCTGTAAATTCATTGTTTCTCTCCTGTCAGTCACTGTCAGGGGTAGTGTAGGAGAACGGCTGAGAAGCAGATGGCTCCATCCAATAAATTTTGCAAGCTCATTTTCAAACAAGGGAGGCAGTCAGCATTGATGGTGCTACGTAAAAACCCTTCTGCCTGTCTTAATGTCACCAGCAGCACTGAAAATATGCTATGTGTCCCCACTGGTTGGTAGGCTGGTCAGGTAGGCAGCGCCAGCTCCTGCCAGGACTGGCAACAGCCTGTTTCTCAGTTCCCACAACGACAGAGCAAATTTCTCCCTCGCTAGCAAATGACTCCTGGGGGTGGGGAGCTGAGGAGAAACTTGATGGATGGAAAGAAATAAGAATATATTCTTCTCCAAACCAGCAGCCTGCACCTGCTTTGATGCTCACTGATACAGCAGAGTGTAGGACTGCCAAGTTCACTTTAGTATGCATAAGCAATGAGGACTAATTGGTAGATGGTGCTGCTGGTGGTTTTGCTAATCTCAATGGGATTCTTTTCCACTTCCTGACACCGTTCTCAGTTGTAGGCTGAGTAGGTCCAAGCAAAACACTGAATAGGTAAAGGTTTTCCAAGCGTTGGTACTTTATTGTATGTGCACATGTGCATTATCTGTGCACGCATTATTATTAGACAGACCCACCTTGCAGCTATGCCAAGCACCTTTTCTCTGAGGAGAGGGTAGTTAATCAATGTCCTGTGTCAGAATCTGGGGGGGGAATCAAAAACCTGTCTTCATGTATTCCTGCAAGTGAAATATTTAACATATTCTGGAGACAAAAGTTAGTTTTCTCCCATTTTGTGATGAAAGTAGCAGAGTATGCATATTCATGAGTATATGAAATTGATGGGGAATAATTATGCTATTCCGGGTAGTAGTAAAAATGGTTACATTTTAGTCACTTTTAGCCTGAGAACCCCTGTGGAAATAGTCACTCAAATGTTTAGAAAATAGATTCCTGAAGAACAGAGGATTCCTGAAGTTTCAGTCTCCCCTTTTAGAAGTTGTCTCAATTGTCTATAGATTATTTTATATAGCATATACTACAGATAGTATTTAAAAGTATATAATGCATTTTACAGATATATAATATTTCAATTTTTTTTTTAATAAAACATGCAATGATGCAGATAAAAGATTGCTACACTTGGTTTGCCTCAGAACAGAAAGTCCCAAGCAGTTCTGCATTGCAAGCTAGCGGAGATAGTGTGTTGCGGGACACTTGCCAGTATAACAAGGCATTTGTCTTGCAGGACTCCACAGTTACCCAAAGGGAGAAAGGTCTTTGAAATTTTTCTGTTAGCAGAGTTTCATTTCCAGATTTCTTCTTCAGTTCACATTGCACTTATATGAATCCTTTTTAAGCAATATCCTCCTGACTAAATCTGAAATTTTGTTGGCTAGCTCTCTGTCTATATTCTTATAGAAAAGCAAACCATTTGGCTGAACATTCTTGAAAAGCTATTTTTGGTATGTACAACTAACCACAACTTGCAAATCTTACATATCAAAATGCAACTCAGCATTTCAAACATCATTTAAATACCTTCAAACATATAATCACTTCCAGGCTGCAGAATGCTCTCTGTGCAGTGCTAAAAATCTTAAACAGAGAACCTTTGCTGTGAAATTGACCTTGAAAAAAATGGCTATTAAACACCTGATGAAAGGGCACTTTGCTCCAAGACAGAAAGCCCATTCACTGGGACAAAGCAAAACTCTTGATAAAACTATGGCATCTCCTGTTTGCTTAGAGAAGCTCAGGTTAATGCTAGATGTAATGGCTATAGACATAACTAATGCAAATTATGCCCCGCTGCAGGAAGATGTAGTTTCTAGAGCACGCATTCATTGCTGGCCTCTGCTTCTCCAGGCTGCACCTGTTTGGGGAAACATTAACGATCTATTAAGCATGTCCTTTATATCTTGTCATTTGCTTCTGAGTTTTCCTGTTGAAGATCAAAGGCAGATGATACCTTCCACTTTTGAACAGGTACAAAATAAGTGGTAATTTTGGGACAGGGAAAGGGGAGACAAGGAAATCACCTTTCTCAAACTTCATTTTGGGAACTACTAATATATTAGTATTAGGGATGTTCTGTTGATAACTGTGTCCCCACGTGCACTTTCCTCAGACTGAGGAAGAGAATCTATAACTTCAATGACCAGAAGTTCTTAATATATCCTATATATCCCAGCACTGTTGATATACAGGTATAAGCACCCCTTACATCAAGCTTCTTTCCTAACTAAAATACCTCACCACCAATATGAAAACAATGTAGAATGCAAATAATACTTTTAATAAAATAGCAGTAGGATTCAACCCCTGTTGTGCATGCTTACTGAAAAAAATTGCTTTATTTTTGCAGAGAGACAAATAAGACATGCTACTGTATGATTACCTTGATTTCAACACATCTTATGGATTGAGAATGCACTTAATTATTGGTTATGGAACAAAGCTTTGGAAATTGGAACATTTCTAGCAGTAGCCAAAGCAGAAGGTATGGAGTTTTGCTGTTTCTTTTGTGTATTTTTCCTACAGCAGGTATTTAGCCTATGAAAATAGGGAAGGGCAAGAAAGCAGGCTTGTGAACTTTCTTGCAGACTCAAGAGATTGGATCTATTATTGTGATTTCAGCACAGACAGAATATCCAATTATGCTCACAAATTGCAGATGTGCAACCCTTGCCCCAGGAGAAATGTGTTTCAAGGCCCTGATTGGACTTATGGATTGGGGCAATTCTCTCCTTGCAGGTGATGATGTTGTAATCAGGAAAATGTCTCTCCTTATGCAGTTTCTAGCAGCTGGAGATGTGCATTTTGGATTTGGGCCCTTGAATCTTATTTGAAACGCGTTGCGATGCATTTACTCGTGGTGGGTAACGCGTTACTCTGTACGGACTCCCACTGACTTCAAGGAGTCTGCTGACAGCGCAAGGACCCATTCAGCAGTCAAAACCTGGCCTCGGGCACAATGTATATTATTATCACAGCAAAAAAAGTGTTTTGAGCTGTGTTTGGGGAAAACCTTGTTCACCTCTGTAGGTGACAGCCACCAGTGTGTTTGGTGCTGCTTCCTAGCAATTCTCAATGCAGGAGGGAGGAACATCAGTATTAACTCTTCTTTTGAGGCTACACAAATAAATCATCAGGAGCACTGGCAGCACATTTGCCCCATGTTACTCCCATCTCTTAAGATTGCAGACTTCTGGGTCCCGATCAGTGAGCTGCCCTGCCCTATTTAGGAGCTTTGGTGAAGTTATTCCTATGCTTTGAGCACATTTTGAGCTTTGGAGTGAGATGCCAGGGACAACGGGCTGAAGCTTCTAGCTCAAATAAGATCCTCCCAGCTAAATTTAAGGGAGATTCCACAATACTTTATTGATTTATCTTTTTTCTTCTCAGTACTTACTTCAATTTCACTTCACTCCAGAAGGATAACAAAACTATAGGATTGTGTCTTCCATTTACCAGAATGTCACTCCAGGACAGCAACTGCCTGCCTTTAAAAGGACATGGACTGCCCTCAACCATTTTGTCCAAAGGGGATTTGTACACAGAAGCAGGTAAGAATTTCTGTATTAATCTTCAGTGAAATACTAGTGTTTATATGACTGGTTCACTATAAAGCTTCAAACAGAAAACACGGATGCTGTGTAAATGCACAAATGCAAGAACTTCATTCTACTGAGACATTAGTCAACTTCTGTCAGAGTACAGAGAGGTATTTTTCACATCAGACACTTTCACATCGAAACCACACGATTGTTCAAAAGAAACATAATATAAACCAACCACAATCCCTCTTTGGGGGAGGAAGAGGAAAGAGAGGATGAGAGTAAGAGCCTCTTATTCCATCTTCCTCACCTTGGTGAGGAATAAAAGAGTCCGGTCCCATGCTTAAGAATTAGATATAAATAATTGCCACTTTTTGGCCTCCAGCAAGGCCAACCATATGTCTACACTGCAGCCACTGCAGGTTGCCTGAGCAAACCTGAGTTAGTCTCCAGCTCGCTGGCTGGATCCCGCTCCCAGGCCTCCCTTGGCAGCAGGGATCCCAGTGCAGATTTACCTCCCCTAGAAGATACCAACAGTGGAATAGCCTGTTCTCACTTTTGCTGCCCCATATCAGTTATACCCAACTCCTCACACTCTAGGCCATCGATTCTGGTGCCACGTTTCTCTTGTTTACCAGAAAAAGAAAAATATCAGTGGACTAAACAAGGCAGTTTGTCTCCTTTCACCACATCCCCAAACATCAGCATTTAACATCTCTGGATAGCAGCAAACCTTACGGTCCTCCCATGAGTGGCTGCAGTAAACACAGCAGAGTATTTCACAGCTATGCCACATGCAGTTACAAGCACAACCAGATTGATGTTAGGGTTATTCCAACACAAAATTACAGTGCACTTTGTTACAACAGTCAAAGCCAAATGAGACCCACGTTCCACCTTTACTTATATGGCATACTGAGGTCCTGGCTTTGGTGTATGTATAATTACTATGGGGTGATTCAGGTGAAGTTTAGATCCTATGCTACACTTCTTTTCTCCCTCCCTTACCCCAAAGCCAGGAAAGTAAATATAGAAAGAACTCCAAAAGAGAATTTGAGTATTATGTTTCTATAAAAGAATTTCCAGAAAGTAACAGGTGACTAATATTACTGATGCAACATGAATATAATAGGTGAATTTCAGCAGTAAATCCCAATCATGATACTTATGCCTTAGGGTATTAAGACGTGATGTAAACTTGAGAACTTTAGAGACCTCTGATCTGTTTTCCATTACAGGGATCTGAAAGCAGTATCTCATTAAAACAAGGCAGAAAAATGAAATGACACTTGAGTCTTTAAAAAGCTGCTGCATTCTGCCACAAAAAAAGATATGTTCTTATCAGATTTCTGATGTAATCATGAGCCTGCAGCACGAGATCTTGACAGTGTGCTACTGTGCTAAAACCCATACTGAAAAGTTTCTGCAGTCTTTTATTTTTTTTAATTATTTTTTAAGCAAAGGTTCAAAGAAAGGAAAAAAATACTGGGGGTGGCCACAACCAGGTGAAGTGATATACTTGGACAACAGTCCAACTGGTTCCAACTGGATACAAGGAAAAACAAATCACCAATAGGAAAATTAGGCATTGGAGCAGGTTGCCCAGGGCTGTTGTGCAATCTCCATCCTTGGAGGTTTTCAAGACACAACTCGAAAAAACTCTGAGCAACACAGCTAACCTTGCTTTGAGCAGGAGGTGGGACTAGAGACATCCTGAGGTGTCTTTTGACCCAAATGTTTTATGTTCATCTGAGTAGTGGGTGATGATCGTGCTTCATGGTGATTTTTTTTTTTTTTTTTTTTTAACATGTGGAAAGGGGTTTTCCTTTCTTATTGGGAAAAATGACACCTTTTGAACATTTACATGAAAATGGAAGGTGTAGGATTGTTTAGCTGCACCCATCTGAGCCTTCTGGCTAGGGTGGTGGCTCGAAAGGTGGGAGACCCAGCTTCACATCTCTACTGCATGACTCAGAGTAGAAGTTTGCTACCCTGCAACACTTCAGATGGGTTGCAAACAGCACACCACTTGGATCAGTGATTGCATCAGGCTGCTAGCCGTCCTTTGTATGTTTGTGGTCAACACATGGTTGGCTCAGCAAGGCATGGTGTGGTTTGGGGATTACATCCTGAACCACCCCCAAATCCAGCAGTGGTCAAAGGTGGTACAGTGCCTGTTGTGGCTTGGCCCAGGCTCTGAGGCTGCTGTGACTTGTCTGTGGTCCCTTTTTGTTCACAGGGCAGGTCTCTGAGATTCCACAACAGTCTGAGCAAGGTCGCGTTGCTGATTTCCTCCTGCTCCTTGGCACATACCTGGCACAGCCCAGTTTTGGAAGGTAAGCATGGGATAACAGCAGATGTCAGCGCCCAGATCAGTCTCCTTTGCTACCTTAGGGGTAGCATACAGAGGCTGCAAGGGAGCCTCAAGGGGGGAGTAGTGTTTTCAACATCTTTCTGAGAGCCTGTTCAGTGCCTTCAGAGGCTGGCTATATTGCACAGACCAAAGAGCTCCCAATGGCTAATCCTGTCCCTGAAACTGTCTCCTTCTGCGGCCTCAAGCACAGCATTTCACCTCTCTGTTGCAATTTTTTCATCTGTAAAATTGGGATAATGACATTTTACTAACTAGCAGGACTGCTGTGAACTTTAATTAAGGCAGGGTTTGTAAAATGCTTTAATGAGGGAAAGCACTAAGAACAAGTAGATTATTTGGTTAAGCTGGCTGCTGTGGTGCTGCCAGACTTGCCAAAATAACTCAGGATCTGTATGTACGCACTACAGATTGTTATTCTGTACACCTTCAAAGATAAGCATTGCAGGGCTTGGGTCCTGGGCAGGTAGGATTCAGCTTGGGAGTGTCTCTTCCTAAGCATACTGGAGTGCAACACTTAAATTCACTGCTCATCTTGGTTTTTTTATTTTGGAGATGGCAAAAAGCTTCGATTTACCACAAGCCACCTTGAAATGAGGTACAACGCCAGATGGTGAGAGAGTCTGCAATACCACACCAAGGACTGAATGCAGAATGGCATTTCTGATCCCCCGTTTCTGAGTATAGGGAAAGCCACAGGTACATACACATTACAGGCAGGAAACCAAACAATTTCTGTACTGTGATGGCAGGTATTACAAGGCGACAGCATTGCATCCAAACGCCTTTTCCTTAGCGTGTGAACGGGAGTAACAGTTTTGTGGTGGAGCTGCTCTCTTTTGCTGCCACCACGAAGCCACTAGACCCTCCTCTGCCTGGGGCTGTAACTCAGGTAAGGTGGCTGAGGCAGCGTTTCTCACAGGGAAGTGAGCAGCGTCTTGGGAGCCAGCTGCTGGGAGACAGAGGGGGTTGCCCTGCCTGCTATCTCTGACCCTTCACACGCGCTCAGGCTTCAGGTCACTGTTTTCCCTACACTGGGAAGCCAGCCAGCAAGGCTTTGGGCATCTGGCAGTACTCAGCACAGGGGTGACTATCGCATAAATCTATTCAAACACAGTGTCTCATGGGTATAAGTCCATCCAGACGCTGCCTTTCATTTTTCATCTTACAGCAGGTTGCGCATCCTCATATCTTTCTTCCATTTCTTTTTTGACTTTTCGGGCCAGGAAGGAATTTACTGCCATGAGCGATTAAGTGGGTGAAGCATCCCCAAGAGAGGCAGGACTGGGACTGGTACTTCAAATCCGACAGCCAAATGTAATTAAGGTCCAAGCTGATCCCTTAGACCACGGGCGGCAGCCAGTCACAGGATACTATGGGGACTAGTGCCTCTCTGTGAGGATCTTTCACTGTCCTTCTTTTACACCTAAGGAGGTGTAGGTGCCGCTACAGCTTTGCCCAGGGACCCTGGCGTGGCCCCACTCCTTCCCTGATCCCTCACTGCCCGCTCACATCCACCAAGAGCAAGGAGAAAGGACCAGTCCCTCCAGTTAATTCATCTGGAGCAGTGGTGAGGCCTGGGACTCCATATTCTTCTCTGAGGAAGATTTAATCAGTCTGGCTCTTAATACCACCCTGTTGCTCTTTGATCAAGGATTATTTAAGCTATTATTGAAATATTGTGCTCAGACTTCTATTATGGCTGGTATTCGCAGAAACAATACTCCTCTCTAGCTGAGCAAATAATGTCGAGTTGTTTGTTTTACAGAGAATTCCACATATTCGCTTTACGTTACTTTCACACTGCTGGTCAGGAACAATGATACTTGTCCAGGGCTAGAAATAATTACTGGGAATCATATTTTGATGGCATTTCTAACAAGCTTCTATGGTGCAAATCAGTCTGTAGCATTTCCAATTCCTAGGCATTTCTTTAGGAATCAGACATCTGACTAGCTTTGGGGTTTTGTATTCTGACAAGTGCCAGACTTCCTCCCTGTGTTTTCATTCTTTAAATTTTAACCATGTTTGCAAAATGTCAGACATCTAAATCAGTTTTCCTTTTGTCAGGTACGAAAGATTATTGTCTGGAAAGATCAGCAGCCACTAATCCAGCTAAATCCGTGCTGTTTGTTTGCTGGTTCTACTACAGACACCTTGGCTCCCAGGTATTCTCAAGATTAAGAAATAGCACAATATCTTCTTTTGATTTTTAGGCAAGATTGTTCAGAGCAGTGTATGCAAAGTCAGAGCAATGATCGCAGATCAAGACTAATGATTTTAAATGTTTGATGTTGCTGCTTAGTTTGGATACCTGACATGGTACACATGGACATGCATTTTCAAAGGAGAGATCCTTAGTCCAGCCTGAAAAATCAAGCTGCTGAAATGTGCTGCAAGTCAGGCATAACAAATTAGTAGAAGTTATTGATAAGCACGGACTTACAGAAAAACTCCTGTCAAGTTTTGTTTTTTTTTTTAAGTGCTCCTGAGAAGCACTCCTTTTTCATTTGTTTGTTTGTAATGAAGGTTTCAGAAAGATCTTTCCAAGATATAGGAAGAATAAGAGAACTCCAGCTGCTGCCCCACTTAACAGAGTGTCTTTGCACTCGTTGGGATTCATTATGCATTTGAAAACTACTGTGTGGCAAATCCAATAATCCAAATTATTGTTTGCTAATCCAATTAGGCATTTTAATTAAACCGTGCAAAGTTCAGCACGGCTGTGAGTTTTTATATCTGGGTTTTGGTTCATTTTATTTTATAATTTTTGGGTGTCATCAGATGACAGAGCTCTAGCTCAGAAAAACAAAGGTGCCTGCATACTGAGAGGATAGCTGTCAAACATTCCCATCACTTTTCCCTGAACAGCCAAGTCAGATAAAATTGCAGATCCTATCGTTAGCAAAAGCATCCAGTCCATTGCTCTGCCACCGGCACACTCCTGGCTGTCTATTTACTGCAGTTTCCTTGCGACCTTCAGGTAACCTTTGAATTTGGCCAGAATACTCTTACAGAATCTTGGCCCAAACCAATGTGAAAGTTTTGTTACGTAAACTACTAAAGCTCAGGAATAAACTGAGGGAGGGGGTACACATGAACTCTGTTAATTCCACCTAAATAAGGCAAACTGAAGTATACCTAAGCTGCAGCTGCCTTGTACTTGACAAAAGAGCCCTACTATTCAAGCATACCCTTCACTCTACAACGTGTCCTTCTACATCTATTCTTGTGCTTGTGAGAGAGATGGAAGAGTAGGAGAACAATAACTCCGCTACGGCCACACACGGGAACCCTTTCTCTTCATTAGAAAAGAGAGAGTGACCCTCACAATACCCTCTTCTTCCTAGGCAGAGCTGGGGGGAGACAGAGAACCAACCTGCCAAGTAGAGAGGTCGGATGAGCTGATACATCCTGGTGTGACATTTTCAGGGTCAGGACAAGCTTCGAGATAGCAACCGAATAGGCTCTGAGAGTGCAACTTTTCCCTGCGCACAAATAATGCTATTTCTGAACCAACCAGAAGTGATTTGCCACCCTCTTAGGCAAGCAATATGACCATGACTCCTCCTCCTCCCCAGCTTGTAGATGGGGTATCAGACCTTGTCCACCTCTGGATGGATGGAAGCAATAGCAACACAGCTCCCTACAGGCACAGGCACAGGACAGGTACCCATCTTTCCTGAGGCTTCTGGGGAGGAAAACTGGCATAGCTTTAACTCTCTTCCATGTTGCTACAACAACACCAGGCGGACATGAGGGAAATAGAAAAGCAGTCCTATATTAGTTGAATTTTATTCTTTGGAGCTTTACTTTTTTCTTCGCCATGTTCATATAGTCAGATTATTTTATTTTCTTTCTAATTATTTAAAATATTATTTGATTCTTTTCTTTTGAATGATTTTGAATGTCTTTCATTTTGAATTACCTAATACCTCCAAATGTCTCCTGCAAATTTCTCTGTTTCAGGAAGACTAGAATGGGCCCTTTTCCTGCTGCGATGAGGCATGTTAGACATGCTTGATGGGTGGAGAACCAGGTTTCATGCTGGCAGTAGAGCTCTTATCAACTGCTGATTGAGATTTGCAAAATTATACATTAGCTGATAGCCGAGATCTATAATTGCACTATTAACTATGCCTGCCAAAGGAGGCAGTAGGAAGATTCAACCCAGAAAGCCAAATGTGGACCATCACACTTGCTACTGCAATCATTGGCTCTGTCCTGCATCGGCATTTAGGATGCATTTTACCTGGGACTGGACTTCAAGGCCACACACTGCTACCAGCAGCCCATCTACCTGCCTGTCACCATGTACTCCCGCTGTGGAAAACTCGGCGCTGGTGTCTCACAGGTTGCAACATCTGCTAGATTGGTGCTTTTACTCTGTAGTAAGATTATTTATGATCTGGACTGCAGCTACCTTCGTGCTCACCCTTTTCCCCTGCCAGCCACAGCAGCAGCCGGGGAGCTCTTCTCACCCCTCCTGGCACTTGCTCCTTATCTCAGAGCAGGAGGTATTACCTCTGGACGGCTCCCAGCTCTCCCAGTTGGCTGGGCAGAGCTCAGGTTTGGGACTGCTGCCAGGCTTATCTTATCTACGGAGGCTTTTGCCTGAAGCCAGGCCTGAAGGGTTTTTGGCCCTCACGAGTGAGGGAGATTTTCTGGTCTGACTTTTTACCAGAGAAGGCAACATCACTCTGGGTTCCCTTTCTTGTTTTTATGTAAACAACTCAGTAGTCTGTGTAGATGTGCCTCCAGGCAGGTATAGGTACAGTTTAGGAACAGAATAAATACCTCAAGTACACATTTGATTTTGGCAAGTAGGGAGTTACCTCTCGAGACAGAGATGGCCCTTATTATGTAGGTAGATAAGAGGTAGTTTTCCAGAGCCACATCTCAATTCTAGCTTATACCTGGCAGTGTTCCTATCTGAGTTATCTGAAGCCTCTAAAGTAAGATCTTTGTGTTCAACGTACTTGAAAAAAAAATCAGAGTTTCCATCCTTATGGAAAAACTCGAATTTTCTTGATTGGGTCAGTGAAAGAATGAGATGCATGCTGAGTTTCAGCTCTCAAGGGAAGGGCAATGCGTGAGCGGCCACAGCACAATGCTCAGAGAGAGCACACAGCGACAGGGTGGTCCAGGCACTAGGTAAGGCTATGTGTGGTCTCATTTCTTCTGTTGCCCTTGGAAAATAAAACGAGATCACCTTTTCTCCCTATGCCTAAGCGAGTCTTTCACAGTCTGACTGGCCTAGGGGGCCAGGCACGTTAATCCAAAACACAATTTTCCGAGAAGCTGGTCTTTCAAAGAACTTGTGCATCAACAAGTAAACACTCATCTCCATCCTATTTATTATTTTTTTTTTAACGTGTGAGGTGAGTCTTCCTCCCACAGTGAAGGAGCGCTTGGTAAACTGCTTGGGAGCCCAGCCGCTCCTAATATTAGCTTGCCCCATTATGCAAATGCAGCTCTGGTGTTCCCACACTCTGGGGGAAGGACTTGATCCCAGCTTCCCACCGCGTCCAACGGCTGCCTACAGCCCGTGCCCTGCCGCCATGGAAGACTGGATCACTGTGATCAGCATTTGCCTCTACCTCAGTTCTGACTTGGGTTTTGCGAGCTTCTGTCACTTGGTGTAGGTGTTGCAGCTCCACGTTTGAGTCTCTCTGCTGCAGTTTTCAAATGCAATGAAACGTTAATTGCTGCGAACACACAACATGAGCTGCTAACATGTAAGAGAGATGGTCAAAGCAAGATTAAAAACATAATGCTTTATCTCAATGTCTACATGTAAACCTAATTCAGTAACTTTCTGTTTACTTTTTCTGGATAACTGTATAAACCTGCTCAGCAGTTTCAAAAGACATTGAAAAACCACAAACCCCTGGGTTTTTTTTATTTTTTAATTTAATCTCCCAGCAAAGCCTGAGAAGACATTAGAGCTCCTGACAAAAACTAAGCAGTCCATTTTTCCACGTTCAAGAGACATACCAGTAGCGCACTGAAACTCCATTTCACTCAGGTCAAAAAAAATATATTGGCTCCAGTTCTCCACTAACTAGGATCTCGGCCTGAACACACTGGAGCTTGGATGTTACGGGATTCCCGGTTGGGAGCCCCTAATATGTGGCTTGATGGTCCTGAGGTAAGTTTTGCACAAGTAGTGCCCTGGCTGAGAAGCCCAGTCTATTTTCCCATTCAATTCTCTCATCTGGGATGGTGAGAATACTTAAATATCCAAACAGAGAATACTTACGGTTGCCTGCCTGTCAGCACAATCTTTTTACGCCTGCCTCCAAAACTGTAAACATAGGAATCAAACATCTGTTGTATTTTCAGGAGGAGAAGGGATTACAGTGAGGTTCAATTACTAACATCTTATATATTTCTGGCTTGTTTTTTTTTTTTTTTTTTTAATTGCTAAGAGGTTTAACACAATGATCTTACACACAATATAAAAGAACTCAAATTTAAATAGGCTTACAGTTATTTTCACTATATATTAATAATTTGGATAACACATGCCTTACTCTTTCATGAGCTGCCAGGGTAAAAAAATCCCGTCTCGCCCAGCATACTTCTCTCCGCCTGGCTTCACACCAGTGAACAAGAAAAGAATGCTTCCCCAGTCTCCAAGCTTCGTCTAAAGCCACCCCGTGATTTTGCCATGTCTGCAAGTGGTCCCATCTATCAAGGTTTAAGACAGATGTTTTCGGTGCTGCGGCTGTTAGGTGAGTTCATATGTTCAAACTTGTAAAGGAGTCAGGCCACTGCGTTTGAAATATACCTGCACCCAGTCAGCTGAGTTCAGGTGGGGCTGAAAGCATGCCAAGTATTTTGGAGAAAATACCTATGGGGATTATTGTTCTTATAAAAAGTGAAGGTGTGTAAATGGATTTGTTCATTTGAGGTAGAATTCTCTTTATCAGTCATGTTTGGGTTTAGAGCGACTTAATTTTTAGGCAGATTTCTTCTGCGCTTGGACTAAACTTAAGGGAAATTTAGGTAAACATAGCTCTTTCTGTCTCTTCAGCAATGTGTTATAACATTGCTAAAGCTATCAAGATTTCTTATGAAAATACCATACAAACATTTCTTTATAATTATTGGGTTACATATAGGGGATACGTATGACATTAATCATCCTTTGGTTTTTTTAACTTGGCCTGATCAAGATGCACTTTGCTGTATGTCATTATGCAGCCCTGCCTTCTGAGCAGAAGCAGTCCTTAATCAAATGCCTCTCAATGTTTGTTTTTTAGAGAAAACAAATCTTTCTGTATCACTGTCTGACTTCTGAAAGATGAGAAAAATAAATTAATTTCCCTGTGTGCTTGGGATTCACTGCCTTTCCTCCTGATGAAATTCACAGGATACAGATTTCCCTCCAGTGACGTAAGGAGAATCTTTCTGATCTTTCTGTGTGCTCCAGCCAGACTACATCACTTTAATTTTTATTTTGGGTGGGGGGCTTTTGCAAACCTGCCAGAAGTTTTGCCCAGTAACTGCAACTGGTTAATTGCCATAAGCATGGGAAGATCTCAAGAGAAAAGATGAGGTAAACGCTTTTCTACCCTCAGCGGCACCATGGCTCTTCCTTTGGTCTAAACGTCTCTCCACCTTACACTGCCATCATCTGACAGAGGATCTAGAGAGAATAAAAACACTGCTAAACGAAAAGTTGTTTATGTGACAAGAGAAAGAAAACGGCCTCAGAGGAACATTAGCGCTTTCTGATGCTGCCACTGCAAGACACCATAGGACAGTGTGCACAGCACAGTGCAGGGCAATAAGAACCAGAAAATGTTGGGCAAGAAGGAACCTCTTGACAGTGTATGTACATTTTAATATTTGTTGGAGGAGGGGAAGGATTCAGAAACTATTTCCTTCAGCTGGTGCTGTATTTCTTACAAAACAAAACCCCCACAAACTCAGTAAGAAAGCAGCATGTCAGAAAACCTAAGCCATCAAGTAGTTGTTAAGTCATTTAACATCTTTAAAATATTTTTCCCCTCCAGGTCACATAATACAAAGAGATACCACCCTCCAACCCTACCATGGATTCTTTTACTGTAAAATAAACTTGGATTTGTGTCTAACAATCAATCTTGGAAATTAAAGTCCATATACATGCGAGAGAGGACTGTACACCTCCCCATCAATATGCCATACAACGGAAAGGAAAAGCCATGCTGTGGGGTAAGTGATTCAGTCCTCCTCTGATTTTCCTCTTTCAATTTTCTGCTTTTGAACATCAATGAAGATTCCATTTGTATGTCACACTCTTGTTCAGTGGGATGTAGGTGGTGTTATTCCATTTTAGACTCAAGGATATCAGATATAGACTACATTTTAATTAATATATATTTTATATTCTATAATGAGCTGTTTGCCGCCTAGGAAAATGCAATTTCTACAAAACAACAGTTAACAGAACATTTCTACTTCATGACGTAGCTTTGTAAAAATTCAACGGTTTGGTTCAACATTCCTCAGTTTTCAGCAAAACCTGCCCTAGGTAATGTAAATTTAAAAATTGGAAATAAAGATTGTATTCTCTTTTTTAAATTATTTTTATTTAAACTATTGGCACTGATGGTTCAGTCTTTCAGCCCTGATTTATCCTTCCTGTTTTCTTGTTAGTGGTAGACACAGGACAAATTAACTGACTTAGTAGCCATGTCAGTGGCTGCATCTTTTCTATTTTGTTGTTTTTCCTTCTTTTGCCTTTAGAAATACCTATTTTTCTTGACTCAACTCTTCATTTGTTGATGAGTTTGTTTCCAACAAGTTCCTCGTCTTGCAAGCACAGTACCCTGTCTTTCTTCTGCTCCTTGTTCTCTGACTCTGAAACAGTCCAAGAGACAAAGAATCCAAGCCTCCACATGAGGAGAGGATCTCCTTTCTGCTGCCAGATTAACTTCCTGGCAGTGGAATAAAAACTCTTGAGCAGCTGAGTTAAGCTTCCTTTAATTAGCTAAATCTAATGCGAAGTTTATTCACTATAACTTTCACCTTTGTTTTATTTCTAGGATGATTTTCAATACACGTTGAAGGCTTCCAGCACTTCTTACAACCAGTTATCGTACCATACATATCCATCATACCCTTATGCAAGGTACCACTCAGCCTCGCTGCATCCGTCAAAGGGATCTTTGTTGCAAAATTCAGATCTTATTAATTCCTGCACAGCACAAGAAGACATGGATATCTCTTTTCAGTGGAGATATAATTAAAAGACACATAATTACTGTTAGAAAATATTTCAAGGAAACATTAGTGTTTCAGTAGGTGATGTTTGTTTATAGGTAATATTCTGAGCAGTCTTCTAGGCTCCCCTAAGATTAAATCAAAACAGTTCACCAGTAAAAAGATGCCTCCATTTTTCAGCTGAGCATCTGATATCTTTGCAATTTCACACAACACTGAAAAATTTTTTGTTAATGCTTTAAACCTAATTATAGGTTTGAATATAGTTTCTATGCATTGAGGTCAGTACAAACCTGATAAAATCCTCACTAAAGGGAAGAACATCTGATTAAGTCATATTGAACTCACTTATTAGATGAACGGGAGGCATTGCAAAGTGTTCACTCAGAAAGAAATATTTTATTTCTGTAGATTTTCTTGTGGAAAGTTTTTTGCTCTTACATCTTTATCAACAAACCTCTCTGGATATGCTAGAACAGCTCTTTGAGTGGAAACACATTTTCTAGAATGAGTTACTTTTTCATTTATTCCAACAGAAAAAGAACTATCTTCTTCTAGAATATAAGGATTAACATGAACAGCCACAGCTGCCAAAATTCATACCTACTCTAACACCAGTATTATTCCAAATGGAGAAGTACTACATTTCTTTCCTAATGCATTTCTTTTGTAACACTTGGAGGAGACAGTTGATAAAGAGCAAGCTTGGCAACCTACAGTTGTGTGGTACCTTTTGCAGGAATACATCCACTAGCCCCAGCATCACGGCTACACTGTTTGCACAATAACTTTCTGCCTATCCCAATTCCTATTTCAATTACAACTGTATGAGAGAGATTCTTAGTGTTTTCTCTACTGTTAAACAGCTGCTGCATTTCAGTGTTGGTGAAATAGTTTTCAGTTTTTTTAATGAAAGTGCTTTGGGATGTCTCTAGCTGAAAGATGGCATAGAAATGCAAATTATACTTAGTCATATAACTCGGAATTACCTTTGCATTTTATTTTTGACCTGTATCTGTTTATAAAGCAATCCTGAAAAACAGTTACATTATCCCTTACATTATTGGGAAAACAAGAGATAGGACTGCCAGCTCTTACATGAATGTTGTAATCCAATGAACGTTCACGCTGAAAAGTATCTCCTTTAGTGAATTTTTTGACAAAACAATCTAATTTCATTTATAAACTTAGATAATAAACCCCAACATATTCATATCGAAAGCATGAGTGAATGTATGTCATAAATCTCAAGTTCCTTTTTTCTTCCCTAGTTTTATTAACACAGACATGCGGGTTCACACCAATACTTGTTCTTTGAATCCTTTTATATATGCTTCCTTTAGTAATGACTGTAAAAAAATTATATCCTGGCAGAAGCCTACAAAACATAAGCCTGTTTAAGTTGTTTAAGTGCTGTACTGTAGGGCTATTCTGATAAAAGATTTTAAAGTAATGCCCTTAACTACTGCACAGATGAGAACCACAGCAGTTTCTGCTTGTGCTTCTCACTGGAAAGCAAGCATGTAGTAGACGCTCTGAGGAGGGACTGCAGGACAGGCTACCAGCAAATTGAATGACTTTAGGGCTTGCCCACCTGAAAATGAAGAGATGTAGATGGGTGGAATGTAAAAGCACAAACCTGAATGTAAATACTAGTTTAAATACCTCTCATCTTGCAAAGAAAGTACCATGGCATCCTCTGTACCCACAGTTCCTCAAGGCTCTTGTTTCAGGGCTAAAGATAGCTCTCCTGGTAACATGAGACAAAATAATGGTTGAATTGTTTTACTCCAAGAGAAGCTGAGTGCTAAGGAACCAGTGTTATCTGCTCCTTCACCATGAGCATTATCTCATATTGCTTAATACAAAATTTAATGGGACCTCAGCATCTCCTGTAAATACAGGACTGCCCCTCTGGTATGGCCATTCACCTGTATCATGTGTGCTGCTAATGCAAGTCAAGCAAGCCTAGATTTATGTATTTTAAAATATCAGACTTCTATTTTTATGCCAAATGTTGAAAGAGACAAAGGGCAGAAATCTCACAGCTGAACAAAGCAACTGCAAAAGACTTGCTCAGTTTTCTGAGAGGCCAATCCTGTGTGACGCCAGACCTCGCTTCCACCCCACTCCCCTTTGCACCAGAATTGCTGTAGCTCCTTCAAAAGACAGCAATATTTCTGCTGAATTTCCTGCCCTTATGATCAATTGTGTTGCTTATGGTATGCAAACGAGCTCTATGGGACTGTGCACAGTCTTCAGTAGTAGTGAAAGAACCCCAAGGTATGCTGCACCATTCACGATACGAAAGAAAAGCTAAATTCTCCTCCTCATGCAAAAAAAAAATCAGGAAAAAAAAAGCATCTAGAATAAGTGTCTGCTCTTGATTGTGAATATTAGCAAGCAAAGATTAGCACCTTTCCACTTTGTTTCTATAAAAGCTGCTTTACACAAACTACACAGTGCAGGAGGGCTGTGGACACGTCCCTGCCAAAGCTCATGCAGTCTGGGGACAGTCTTGGCTGATGAGGCACTTTGAGACCTGATCCAGTGCGTTGAAGAAACACAGAAAAGGATGCAGAAGCAGCAGGCAGTTACCTAATACTATCAAATCTCAATAAAAAAATTACAAGCTGACATTTTGGCAGGCTTTCTGAATACCTAATAGGGCAATGCTTGTGTAAACTGACCTGGAAGCAAGGTTAAGGGAAATTAATCCACAGCGAAAAAAAAAAAAAAACCAAATCAAACTTTAGGAGCAGCAAATCATTTCAGTTCAAAGCCCCTTAGATCACATCTGAGCACAGGGTGACGGAATTGGTCCCACTGGTTGTTTCCATGAGACATTATTCACGGCCAGCGTTCTACAGACGGCAGTTCCGCACAAGCGCTCCCAGCCGAGCCAGGACACAGAAAGATTTCACTTACTGCCCGAGCGGCTGCCTGAGAGGGTGTTTGCGCCTAGGGATTTGGGGTGGCACCTCAACAAACCCGCACCTCCCGCCTGGCGCGGGGAGCAGACGGGAAGGGCAGCGAACCCCCGGGCAGGTCTGGCGGGGACCCCGTTCCCGCATCCGCCGCCTCACACCGCCGGACAGGGGGAGGCGGGGGCGTTTTCCCCCACCGGGCACAAGGGACGGCGGCGGCTGGCGAGGCCGTGCGGTGCGGGGTCCTCCTCCTCTTCCCCCGCACCACAGCGGGTCCCGCCGCGTCGGCCTCCCCAGCACCGGCGAGACGCGTCCTTCGGGATCGTTAAAGTTCTCCATTTCCCCCTTGCCGTTTTTTAATTCCGTATTAACACACGCACACCCCCGCCATCCCCTCTCCCGCCGGTCCGAAGGGGCGGGCACGGCAGGCCGGGCGGGGGCAGAGCAGCGACACGGCGGCGCGAAGGACGGGCCGCCCCGCCGGTCCCC